GCATTTCTATAATAGTCCCCACGCTGATGCAGACGGAAAATGGATTGCCAACGTGAATTGAAAAGCGAAACTTGCCAAATAGTTTTTCGTCTTGCTGGCCGGATTTATTTTTCTAATTTGTCATGCTGTTATCATCATACCTTACTTAATATTTTGCAGTTACATTTAAATACTTTTGGATCAGCTTTATTTTAACAAGTTAATTCCGCTTACCTAATTTAATTTTTTTTCTCTTTGATCTTGACCCATTTAGAAAGTGCTGGTTTGATTAGACCAAGACGCCAGAAACCAAGACAACAGTTATTAAATCACAATGACAATGAACAAGCGAGCGAAGAGGACAATTCAGTGCTGCTGAAGTTGATGGAGCAGGAAGAGAAGCGTAAAAAGAAGGAGAAGCTTCTGAATAAAGATGATCCGCATCTCGTCTTTGAAATTACCAGTGATGACGGGTTTTACACAAAAGCTGATACCATTACAGGTAGATATAACATTTTCAAATTTCACTCCTCCGTGATCTTGGAATGGGCTACAGGTCAGAATGCAAAATACCTCAGGAAGAACGAAAAAAAAATGTCATGGTTGTATGTGCCAGTAATCATGGATTTGTGAACCAGTGTTTAAAGAAGTCACATGTTATGAAAGTTAAAAGGTTACCACATCCATGAGAACTTATGCTTAGTTTTCTCTTTTTAATTAGTTAATTTTCAGCTTTTCAACTGATTATCCCAAGAGCTGCTCAACAAATTTCAATGAAACTTGATTTGTAAATGCTCTGATTATGCACAGACCGGATCAGTTTTCGGTTGAAATGGTATATAATAGTTTGCCTAATAATTGGGTGATTTCATCCATTTCACTCAACATATTTAAATGAAAGTTGGTACTTAGATGCTCTGGGATAATCTTATTGATTTCTATGTTGAAATTTATGCATACTAATTACTAACTGATCTGATTTTTGTTTTAATCTTAGCGGCCTGGAGTCAAGTTCTTGACAAGGTGCAAGAAGCTAGAAACAGTCAGGGCATGAAGTATTTATCATTTGCTGGTAAGTTGTAGTGCTCGTGTTTGTAAAGGCAGTGCAAGTTAATACCGTTGATAATGGATTAACCTGTTGTGGATTAATAATGGATTAACCTGTTATGGATTAATAATGGATTAACCTGTTATGGATTAATAATGGATTAACCTGTTGTGGATTAATAATGGATTAACCTGTTGTGGATTAATAATGGATTAACCTGTTGTGGATTAATAATGGATTAACCTGATTAAGTGTTATGAACAGATGCTACAACACTGTGGGATGTCACAGAACAGCAAAGAACCTTTCTCGAAAAAGGAGATTATCTCAAATTCAGAAAACACAGTTCCTAATAATATTTAATTGCTGTGCTTTATGTTTGACAAATTTATCAATAATTTTTTTTGGTGTGAGCAGATGAGCTCTTTATATCAAGAGAATATCTGCCAATCAGAAACTTGCCCCATTTTTACCTAGTCTCAAAATAAATTTTCTGTTGGGCTGATCTGAAATGCACATAGGCCCCATAAATTGAACAATTTGGGTTGTATTATGAAGTCCTAGTAATCAACAGGCCTTTTTGCTGAATAATGATTTTCCCATTCTTTATCTCCATTGTTTGATTACATAGGTATTGATGGCATAAAGATGATAGGTGTTACCCATGATGCATTGGTATATTTAATTGAACAGCTCCGTGGTGCCAAAAACTGTCAAAACTATAGGTTCAAATACCATAGACACAACATACAACACGATGAGGTAAGCAAGGGATTATTTTTGTTTCTGTTGCAACAAAAGCTAACAATATTTGCTTTCGATAAACATGCATTGAAGAGGGCAGTGTTTGCAATTGTTATGGTTACTTGCGAGTAAAAATGTGCAACTTGTGATGTAGCACTAAACAGACTTGTCTTCTTTCAGGAACCTGTGGTCAATCCCAGTGGTTGTGCCAGAGCGGAGGTCATTGCCAGGAGGTCGAAATTTGACATGTTTAATTTCTTAGCGTCCAAACACCGTAGTTTGGTTGTACGGACTGACAACATGGATGACGAGGAAGAAATACAGCATAAATCGGCGAGGTAAGGACGCGGCTTCTTGCGTGATTAAATTGATTTTTCAATAATGCCTATTGTGGTTGTTTTCGCTCTCGGCGTGTGATCAGTTATTTTTAATACCAAGGGTTTATAAAACAGGGGTTTGCAACTAGTGTATTATGGAATGAAGATCCCGTTCTAAGTCACAGCAATTGTCAGCTGATTGCAAAATCACAAGACAAATATTTCTAGAACTATTAATTTTATTGGTTGAATGACACACAGGTATACTTACACAGGACGGGTTCTTCAATGGGGATAGCACATACATCGTTATAAAATTGGGTGCCTATATCTTTATCAATCTTGGCTGGAAATGCCCGAAATTTATTCATTGACTTAAATTGTGTAAGAAGTGTCAAAAAATGCAATTTCTCATTAACAATGTGTTCTATAAAAATAGCGATTTTTGAAAAATATTGAAACAAGTTTCTTACAATACATCACTGTAACACACACAAGAATGCAATTTCATAGTGCCATGGGACAAGAGCTCCATGATTTTACATAATAATCCAATAAACATTGTCATGTGATATATGACCACTTTTCTCAAAAACTATGAGTAGGCTGGTCTCTAAAAATCAATTTTTTTTTAAATTATTTAATATATATATTTTCAGACGAGCTACGAGTATGGATTTACCAATGGCTATGAGATTTCGTCATTTACAAAAAACATCAAAGGAAGCGGTGGGCGTCTATCGATCTGGTATACATGGCCGTGGTTTATTTTGCAAACGCCCAATAGATGCGGCCGAGATGGTGATTGAGTACGCTGGTATGGTAATACGATCGTCGCTGACGGACAAGAGAGAGAAATACTATGATAGCAAGGTATAGAAAATTGTGTTAAGTTTTTACTTGAATGTGTACGCCGCCAGTTTTCATTGACTGAGCTGATTTTATTCAAACTTGGTATGGTGACGGTAGATACGAGGTTGCAGGTGCCATTTTTGTTGTTTTTGAGAACCATTCAAGATGGATGACTTTCAGCCATTCTGTTTTTAACTCTGCTGTCCACTTTGTAGAGCGGAGCTTATCATATGAGTGATTGTCAGTCGTTGGCATCCGTCGTCCGTGTCAACTTGTTACTTTTTCAACTTCTTTAAAACTACAAGCCTGAATGTTTTGATACTTTGTGTATATGTACCTTGGTAAATATGATATTTTTGACTTCTTGTTGAAGACAGCAAGTCTGATTGCTTTGATACTATACATACCTCAGGTAGACCTCTCTCAGATTTGTTCCTTTTCTGATGATATCTTCAGTTCTTTAATTGAAATCAGCATTACCGTAAAATCTGTATTAGAAGCCGCATCCCTAATAGAAGTCGCACCCATTCTTTTTGAAAAATTGAGAACCAAAAAATCATCATTTCTCATATGTGTAGATGCTCTAATAGAAGCCGCGTCCCCTCTATTGCATTGTACCATTTTAATAGAAGCCGCGGTTTCTAATACAGATTTTACAGTACTAACAGTGGAGCTATCTCAGCCGGGAGGCTGCTTGTTTACATTTCCCCTACCCGTTTAATGGAACTGCAGGGATTGAAATAGAATTTTTTCCCTGCATGCACAGTGTGCATGTTGAAGTTGAAATTTACCTGCACTAACTTATTGTTTTAATTGATGCGATCACGAAAGAATTATTTTTTTTTAATTGTCTTACAATATTGGTTGAACTTAACTTAGGCTTAGTGAATATAATGAGAAAATGTGTTAATTTCTACATGCACAGCGTGCACATTATATTTTGAGTTTACTTGCACTAGGTAATAATCTATGTACATAGTGCAGTGTGCACAAGGGTATTTCGATCCCTGAACTGTCTTAGACCTTTACTTTTGAATTTGTCTCAGTGACTTCATACGACTTCAAATGGTCAAGAAACTTAAATTATTCATGGGTGGGTAGGAATTGTATTGGTGGGTGGTGCTTTATGTCATTTACAAAAAATGTATAATTTTACTGCGAAAAAACAATAATATTGATGATGTGCAGATGAAATCTAATCCATCATCGTGCATTCCATTTCATTTCCTTAGTTCCCAAGCAGTAAAATTCAGAAAAACCTGACACTGTTTTCTTGACATTTTGTCTGTTCTATTTTATTACTGCAGGGCATCGGGTGTTACATGTTTCGTATTGATGATTACGATGTTGTGGACGCTACGATGCATGGCAACGCTGCAAGGTTTATCAACCACTCTTGTGAGGTAAGACGATCTTGTTTATTGTGGCATTTTTGGAAGGACTATTACCCCCGGCATGTAGTGCTGGTGGGGTATATAGTAGTTATCAGATGCTAGATCTGATCAACATATTTAATGACCATATATGGTCATGTGACCTCATTAACTATCATATCTGAAAAACTATTGCAGATATAGAAATTTAACCAGCGTTTGCAATAAAGAAGCCGGGGGGAGGGGGGTCTGCCGTTTCTTATGACTTTCTTGTTTCAGTCTGTTTATTTCAATGAAGTGTGACCAGATTAGTTTAAAATATTGAGTGAATATGTCCCAATCAGGAGACTTGCTTTATTTTTTCCCCAACCTCAAAATAAACGTAGAATTTTTTGTTGGGCTGATGCACATGAACCTGATAAATCACACATTTTGGGGTTGTCAAAAATTGTCTCTGTATTCTTGAGTGATTTGGAGATACTGTAGAAAGGGGAATATTAACTGCATATACATTTTATTGGATTTGATATTGCAGGAATATTTTTATTGTTAAATATTCACCAGATTTTGATTCAAAATGAAAATAAATCCCGGTGAAAAATTGAACCATAGTAATCAGCATTTCTGGGAAAAGAGCCTTGCTGCAAATCTAAATTTTATCTCTGAATAGATTTTATTTGTTTTAGTGGATTTGATGTGAATGAATCAAAGTGTACTGTATCATCTTCAAGATTTCTTTATTTCTGGTCTTTTTTTCAGCCAAATTGTTTTTCGCGTGTTATCCAAGTTGACGGCAAAAAGCATATTGTTATATTCGCCAGCCGGAAGATAATGCCCGGTGAAGAGCTGACGTACGATTACAAATTCCCATTTGAAGAAGAAAAGATACCATGCACGTGTGGTTCTAAGAAATGCCGAAAACACTTGAACTGATGCGAGGGCAACAGCACTGGAGGTTAATGACATATAACCGCCACTCTTTGTCTGCGAGTTGTCGTTACCAGTATCTACTTCAAGAGAATGTAAGGTGGTACCTATGGAGCTAGTCGGCTGCAGCGTGACATTGGTGGATTGTTTTAAGGAGACACCGTCACTTTATCGACTGATGCTGTTTTTTTACAGCATTGTCTGTGGTCCGCTTATCGCATATGACTCTGGTGCAGCAGTCTCTATAACAAGGATACAATATCTAAGTAGTGTCTGCGGCATTGGTTAGTGGGCCAATCAGCAAGAATTAACTCTTTGGAGATGTTTCTTGCACAAACTCTTTTGTGGAACTATGTCTTTGCACGGTATGTGATGTTAGTGAACACATTACAATTCACGAATCTTGGCTTCATTTTGCCGAACTGCGAATGTTTCTATGAGTGAGGTTATTATAAAAAGTACATGAACAGATGGTATGCAAGAATTGCTCCGAGCAATTCCAGTGTGATTTTTGTTTTAATGTGACGCTGTCTCAGGTCGTGAGCCGCCAAGATTGACCGGTCGGTTTAAAATACCTGCCAATGATTGGATCTTGTATTTACATATGTTGTTAAGAATTTGAGAAAGGTCTGTAATAGGATTCGTTTTGGTTTATTTTTTTAACAATAATTTGTGCATTCATTGTGTTGGTCAGTTGCGGGTGCTTGATACCGCGTCAGTGATATTTAAATCAACTTTTGAATTTATCTGCGTTGTGACGACAACCCAACATTTTATCTAGAATTCACAAAATCCAAGTTACTTCAATTTCTAGAGATGTTCACTGACTGTGAAACGTGTATTTTTTAACAGCATTACAAGTATAACATTTTCAAAGCAGTACTATGAAGTCAGCTGAATATTTGTTTGTTGTTTAGTTCCTCCTGTTACAGGGTTACTAACATTGAATTTCTCTACAATTTTATAAAGAAGGGAGTTGTTGAAACACACCAATCATAAATGACTGAAGATGTGACAAGTACTAGCTATACTTGTCTGTTTTCCCCTTTCTCTTCTGGGGTGTAACTAGGATTTTTTTCATACTTATTTATGGTTGGCAAAAATGTAAACAAATGGCGTGCGATCTTTACATGTTCATCGTTTATCTCTTGGTTGTATCTCTCATGGCAGCTCCGTTGTGCCCAAAACAAGTGAAACAGTGGTCTCTACCCCAGAGCAAAATAAGTTTTTCGGGAGTCTGAATTAATACTGACTTTAATGCCTGCGTGTGTCACAAACATTTGGTCTGTATGAGAAATGATCCACGAATGAACCTTTCATGATTATTCTATAATAACAAGCGTTTTCATGACCGTGTTATTTTTTTTTGAGGAGCCACATTAGAATTACTCTTTGTTTCCCACAGACATCTTACTACATTTGATTCGAAATGGATCCCATGTGTTCTGTAAATAATGCGGTAAAATACATTGTTCGTTTGACGCGTGATGACGTCACTTCGTTTTATACTCGATATGCGGTTCGAAATTTGGCGAAAACTAGAGAATATGACAGAAAATGTTGACTTTGTTTTTCAGAGCGTGAGTGACACAGCCATGAATAAATACTGACAAATCCTCCCCCTCCCCACCAGAGTTTAAGTGTACATTTTTTAGCCACAGCAATACAATACATTTCTTAGTGTTGGTTATGATGGTTTGTATCTCTCCATGACAATGAATTAGAAATTTATTTTTGTTAATTCATGAGGCTGAGTTCGGTTGTTGAAGCGATTGTTTATATTTGTTTTGGGCTGCCTGGTTTACCTAATGTTTGTATGTGGATTATTGGATTATATAGATAGAGGGAAAGGTGGGAAAGTAAACATTCCAATTCATCAGAGTAATTATACATGTTTTTTTTCTCGCACGATTGACATGCTGGCTTTTACTTGGAGGAACTTCAAATCTTAGTACAATTTCATAAAACCAAACCAAAGAGTATTTTAAAACAAAAAATTTGTAGTTTTTGTGACAAATTTGTATTTCTGAATGCTAAGTTTAGGACTTTCTCTGACTGCAACATATTTTTACAAAGTTGTTTACTTTAAAGCTCATTTTGTTGTTGAAATGTACATCTTAAATATTACCCACCAGTGTGAACTACTATTGATTTAAATATTAACTTCAGCCGATGCAATAGTGAAAGAAGCATGAGCTGACCAATTGAATTACTAAAAGACAAGGTCACGTGACTGAAATAAACCAATCACAGTCTATTATGAACACAAACAGCCAATCGTTGTACCCTGTTTTGGTCAGGTGATCTAGGTAAATATATTCATACATGGCCTTTCTGATTCTTTTTTAAGTTTGTGGGTACAAGGTCATTCAAAGTTATTTGACAAAACTCGGTACGCAAAAATATTAATGCTAGTTTCTGCAGACCACTTTCCAGCTATGCAGAGTTTACTTTCTTCCAAACAAATATTTCCTGGGCAAGTAAAGGTGTATATGCATTTTTTATTTCTTTCTGCAATTTAAGTGAAAAAATGGCATTGTTGCATTTTTAAATATAACAACTGTGCCAAAATTTAACCATTTTGATGTAAAAAAAATTTTAAAAACTTAGAAAACTGCCTTTATATGATAACTGTATTTTAATGTTTAGAATATTTTTGGGCATTTTTTTATTACTATTTATTTTCTGTGAATTATTTTTTTTTTGTCGTTTACTGTGTGAATATTTTGTCGCTTTTAAAAAAATTGTAATAATACCCTGAGAAATCTTCCTATAATTTCTACACCTGTTGAATCCTGCCGCTGCAAATATCAAAATGATTATTTACACTAGAAACAGATTGTAACACTTAACAAAATTGTTTCCTGTGATTATACTTTTCTTTTTTTTTTTAAAAAAGGATCTTCAGGTTTAATGAAACAAATAATTGTGAATAATTTTGGATTTAATAAAAAAGTAATAAAATAAGTTGTTTATTATAAATTGTACTTTTTTGTGTCTGTCTGTTTTTATATTGTACATTCTGAAAAGAAGCCAAGGGGTACATTAAAAAGGGTAAGAGGTGTACCATTCAAATTGGGTGGGGAGCAAATAAGGTAAAGGGTAACCATGAAATGGGTGGGGAGTAAATAAGGTAAGGGGTAGACCATTAGAAATGCGTGGGGAGCAAATAAGGTAAGGGGTAGACCATTAGAAATGAGTGGGGAGCAGATAAGGTAAGGGGTAGACCATTAGAAATGGGTGGGGAGCAAATAAGGTTAGGGGTAGACCTTTAGAAATGGGTGGGGAGCAAATAAGGTAAGGGGTAAACCATTAGAAATGAGTGGGGAGCAGATAAGGTAAGGGGTAGGCCATTAGAAATGGGTGGGGAGCAAATAAGGTTAAGGGTAGACCATTAGAAATGGGTGGGGAGCAAATAAGGTAAGGGGTATACCATTAGAAATGGACGGAGAGCAAATAAGGTAAGTGGTAGACCAATAGAAATGAGTTGGTAGCAAATAAGGTAAGGGGTAGACCATTATAAATGAGTGGGGAGCAAATAAGGTAAGGGGTAGACCATTAGAAATGAGTGGGGAGCAAATAAGGTAAAGGGTAGACCATTAGAAATGAGTGGGTAGCAAATAAGGTAAGGGGTAGACCATTAGAAATGGGTGGGGAGCAAATAAGGTTAGGGGTAGACCATTAGAAATGGGTGGGGAGCAAATAAGGTAAGGGGTAAACCATTAGAAATGAGTGGGGAGCAGATAAGGTAAGGGGTAGGCCATTAGAAATTGGCGGGGAGCAAATAAGGTTAAGGGTAGACCATTAGAAATGGGTGGGGAGCAAATAAGGTAAGGGGTGTACCATTAGAAATGGACGGAGAGCAAATAAGGTAAGGGGTAGACCATTAGAAATAGGTTGGGAGCAAATAAGGTAAGGAATAGACCAATAGAAATGCGTTGGTAGCAAATAAGGTAAGGGATAGACCATTATAAATGAGTGGGGAGCAAATAAGGTAAGGGGTAGACCATTAGAAATGAGTGGGGAGCAAATAAGGTAAAGGGTAAACCATTAGAAATGAGTGGGGAGCAAATAAGGTAAGGGGTAGACGATTAGAAATGAGTGGGGAGCAAATAAGGTAAGGGGTAGACGATTAGAAATGAGTGGGGAGCAAATAAGGTAAGGGGTAGACCATTAGAAATGAGTGGGGAGCAAATAAGGTAAGGGGTAGACCATTAGAAATGGGTGGGGAGCAAATAAGGTAAGGGGTAGACCATTAGAAATGAGTGGGGAGCAGATAAGGTAAGGGGTAGACCATTAGAAATGGGTGGGGAGCAAATAAGGTTAGGGGTAGACCATTAGAAATGGGTGGGGAGCAAATAAGGTAAGGGGTAGACCATTAGAAATGAGTGGGGAGCAGATAAGGTAAGGGGTAGACCATTAGAAATGGGTGGGGAGCAAATAAGGTTAGGGGTAGACCATTAGAAATGGGTGGAGAGCAAATAAGGTAAGGGGTAAACCATTAGAAATGAGCGGGGAGCAGATAAGGTAAGGGGTAGGCCATTAGAAATGGGTGGGGAGCAAATAAGGTTAAGGGTAGACCATTAGAAATGGGTGGGGAGCAAATAAGGTAAGGGATGTACCATTAGAAATGGATGGAGAGCAAATAAGGTAAGGGGTAGACCATTAAAAATGGGTTGGGAGCAAATAAGGTAAGGGGTAGACCAATAGAAATGGGCGGGGAGTAAATAAGGTAAAGGGGTGTACCATTAGAAATGAGTGGGGAGCAAATAAGTTAAGGGGTAGACCATTAGAAATGGGTTGGGAGCAGATAAGGTAAGGGGTAAACCATTAGAAATGAGTGGGGAGCAGATAAGGTAAGGGGTGTGCCATTAGAAATGAGTGGGGAGCAAATAAGTTAAGGGGTAGACGATTAAAAATGGGTGGAGAGCAAATAAGGTAAGGGGCAGACCATTAGAAATGGGTTGGGAGCAGATAAGGTAAGGGGTAAACCATTAGAAATGAGTGGGGAGCAGATAAGGTAAGGGGTGTACCATTAGAAATGAGTGGGGAGCAAATAAGTTAAGGGGTAGACCATTAAAAATGGGTGGAGAGCAAATAAGGTAAGGGGCAGACCATTAGAAATGGGTTGGGAGCAGATAAGGTAAGGGGTAAACCATTAGAAATGAGTGGGGAGCAGAT